TTCGGGCGATTTATAACCTAAATTGTAAAGAGTCCCTCAGAGAAAAATTTAAAGAAATAAACATATTAACTTTTGCATCGCGATATATTTATGAGAATGAAATGTATGTGCATAAAAACAGCTTTAATAAGAATAAGGATGTTCATACTTTAAACACTAGGAACAAACATAAGCTTGTAATGCCAGTTACTAGACTAAATGTTTAAGCCTTTACAACAAAATAATAACACATATTCAAAGTTTGTCAATAAACAAGTTTAAAAGTTTTATTGAAGAAAAACTGTACAAAAAGGGTTATTATAATATCAAGAAATACATGAATGAAAATAACCCCTGGGAATAAGTTGATTGCCACCATGCTGGTTCTATGAAAAATCATTTAAAAATTGTATAAACGAAATCATTGTTAAGTGAAATATGTTTGAAAAAAAAAGTCCCACTGGGTTTCTTGCTGGTTCTTCCCAGTACTTAGATATTTTCCGAACCAGTGGTAAATAAAAAATTGCTTTCACTAAGTATTATGTAATAATCAATATTGAATAAAAAATTATTCTATTCTATTTTATTCTGTTCCAATGTCGCAGTTAACCACGGCTACCTCCAGATTAAAATTATAAATTTTTGTTCCAATCCAAAAATAAGTTCATTTACGCGATAAAATCCGTAAAAACTATTTTTATTTAAATGTGTATGTAGTGTGCGCATAAATATAAGATATCAGTTTTATATCTTTTCTGTTTGTCGATCACAATGAAGCGCTTTCGAGGTAGAGTATGAGAGAGATATCGAGTAGAGTGTATAATAATATATACGATTACGATTAATTTGTCAGCCTAATTTACGGTCCTTTCTTTATTCACTGCTGGACGTAGACCTCCCCGATAAGCTGAAGTTTTGACATAATCAAAATACGTCGTATTACAATGTGATTCAAATAAGAATTGGACTGACCTGGCACCATGTTGTAACGTTATAGCTTTTGAATTCACAACGATATAAGCAAATCTTTTTCACAATATTTTTAAATACACGTAGTAGAGCCACATTGCAGCTATATTATGGCTGCAGCAATAACTAAGCCTCCGTTTCTTATGGTGAGTGTAGACACCGGACCTGATCAGACTGGAGGCAATATTTACTAGTAACCAAGCATTCAATCTGTCCTCGGGGGTGGTAACACATATCTGCGTTTTGATTCTTAATCAAGGTATAGATGTAGATGTAAATGGGCCTCAACATCCACTATCCATATCATAAAGTTGACTGCGTGCTCGCTTTCTTTATAGAATAAAACAATAATGCTCACATATCACCCATATCCTTTTAAAAAACAATGAGAGGGGCCTATGTCTAGCCGTGAACCATCACGGGCCGATGAGGTTCATATATTTCCACTCCTTTGTTAAAATTATGTTTAATTGAATTAGATAGGCCAAAATCAGTAAATTTAAAGGAATACTTTTTAATATCAAGAAAAAATTTTGTGAGCAAAATAAAGAAAATTACAAGTTACCTTTGTATGTAAATTTGTCTTCCTTTTGCCATATAATATACCCCGCTCTCATCTGCATGGGCTCCTAAATAATGTAAAAATATTTTACCCGCCAAAAATATTTTAATCTGGATGAAAAAAGAGGAATTATTATCAGAGAGAAAAAGTTTCGCTGAAAATTCGTAGATTTACTATAACTAAAATGTAAAATGGCTGAATATAAAACAAAAACTTCGTTTAATTTAAGGAACAAACAAACTGGCATTAAATATTTTACGAAGCATAAACTTTTAAAAATTAAATAAGGTAACCAATAGAATCAAGTTACGTTGGGGAATTACATTATATTAAAGATGTTAACAATTAATTAGCTATAATCTGCGTAAAAAATTGTCTTACCTAGTATTGCTCTCCCTCTATTGCGTGAACTATCCCCGTCACCATTAATCTCAACACCACTGCTCCCAAAACCGCTACTCTAGGAAAACTTGAAGGCATAATCCCTCCCCCCCCCCCTCACACCTCCATAACCATAGGTGCTGCAAAATACTCAAACCGTAGGAAATTAAAAATGAAAAAGTAAAAATAAACGCGTTAAAATTCCTAACATTAGTTTTATTCAAACGTCCCTCTAATTTTCCTGTCTAGTTGATTGCTTCCGTTATTAATGGAAAAGTGTCATTATTTTCATTTTGCGGGTTGCAGGCTAACTGCGGCAAATATTGGAATCGACGTCAAACATCGGTCTGTGTACTTTATTTTAATGTGTATAAACTATGTTACTCAGTGCAGAAGCGATCGTAGTTTAGAACTAAATCGTCAAAAGCACTTAATATAAATGATTCGAAAACTAGACGATTGCCGAAAAATTAAGTATAAAAGAGGCAGTTTTGTTACTTTAATAAAAAAGTTTTACGATTAACGCCTAAAGTATCCGATGGCTAGGTACAGGCATCCTTTCATTACTGAGAGTTTTAGAGCAGGGATGAGTCCCATGCGCTGCGTGTTAACGAAATTGACAGGTCTTACAAATATTTTAATTTTTGAAGGGAAGGATCGTGAGGCCAGCAAGCAGCTGTCTTCACGATCCTTCCCTTTACCATCGTGTATAACTTTTTTGGATCTCGGATTGATTGACTAATATTACACTTAAGACGACATCCTAGCTACTGAGTCACTGTTACCGTTATCGTTACAGTCTATTAAAGCCCACTGATTAACATGGACCTCCCCTATAGATTGCCTCATAGAGGGAATATTTGCCATAGTTGCCACACTTGGCAAATGGGTTGGTACCCGCAGTTTTAATTTATAGTCGTTATTAAGAAGACGCTGTTGCCCATCTCCTGATTTGTATCCCTCTGTCACCTCTTACGACACCCACGGGATGGTATGGGGTAGTGGTTATTCTTACACCGCTAGTACACGGCCCTTACACCACTATTTCACGACCCTACTGAGTCACCACGTCTCTGCATGTAAGTACGTTTACTGTATCAGCTAACATACATAATTTACATTATTGAAAATTAACGTTATGTTTGAGATGTCACGTCTAATGAAGTCAACGCTCCGTCAAACTCGTGCTCTAATCCAAACTTCTGAATACTTTCAACTCAAATTACAAAATATTTTTGGTTGCCTAGAAAATTGCAATAGACTTCTACGAGTATGCGGTCAGAGCTAAGTTCTGCAAGACGATCCTGAAAATTCTTCAATAGTACTCGTAATACCTTCGGATAATCGTACAGTAAATCCAAGGAAATAATCTACCACTTTGTATTTTATATATTTCGTACTAAGCTTTTGAGAAATTATGACATATTTTCTCGTTACGTATATCTCAAAACTTGAAAATAAGTGTGTACATCCAATGCGTTATGCCAGCAATGTTATATTAATCTGAGACGTGTTCTCCGTACGACCAGCAGTGAAGGAATCACTGCTGGTCGTACGGAGAAGCGCAAAATCGCTAAGCGAGCTATGAGGAGGGCTAGCTAGTAGTTTGAGGCATCTCTTTGGGATGGCCTTTGTTAATTGTGATGGGCTGTAATGACGATGATGATTATGACATTATTAGCACTCTATCCTCGTGACGTTAAAATAAAAAGATTTGTGTGGTTAAACTTTTTTTACTATTCAAAAGTTGTTTTTGACGACGTTTTGATAGGAGTTTTTATTTTATACATGACCATATTATGGGCGTTGACAATCGAAAACCGGGAAGAATTTTAGAACAAGCCACATGTATCCAATGTCAAAATGTCTCGTGTCTCGGTAGGCTCTCACTGGGGTGGAAATGAGCACATGAACTGTTCCATTATTTAATATGAAAATAAAATAATTTATAATGACACATGATCTAAGAATTAATAATAATAATTAACGATTCATTTGATATAAGTTTTTTGTGGAATCTCTGCAAGGTACTTGTTTAAATAAAGATTTAGTGTCACTTTTTTTTATCGTGCCAATTATTTTTATTAGCGTTTCTATCTTCAAACAGCACTTGTTTATTTTTAATGATATGAGTTTGTTTTTTTGTAATAATTTTGATTTTTCCGGACCGATACGACTTAGGGACCTTCAAGAAAAGAGCCTATTCCTTTTTAAAAGGCCGGCAACGCATCTGCAATTCCCCTGGTTCCCCTGGTGTTGCGGTTGTTCATGGGCAGTGGTAGTCACTTACCATAAGGTGAGCCGCATGCTCGTTTGCCCCCTCTTCTATAAAAAAAAAAACATTTAAGTAGATTTACAGATATTCAAAAAATTTTATAGTAGTATACCGTGTAGGGGCGGTGTAAGAATATCTACTACCCCATATCGTCCCGTGGGTGTCGTAAGAAGCGACAAAGTGAAACTAAAACAGAAGACGGGCAGCAGCATCTTCTTGATAACAGATCATAAAAATAAAAAACTGCGATTGTCAACCCGCCTGCCAATCGTGGCAACTATGGCAAAATGCTTTCTATAAGACAATTTATGGGAGAGACATATGTTCAGCTGTGGAGTTAAAAAATTAAATAGTACTAAAAATACTAATACTTCTTTAAATAATAATACTACTTTTTAATGCAGCAATTATTATTTATAATATACGTTTTTATGCGTACATTAACATTTTAAAGATATCGTAAATTTGCATGATATTAATAGTTCTGCGAGTACAATTTCCTTCGTGAAATGAAAACGAATTGATTATTTAGCAAAAAAGTAAAATATTCCATACATCCCGGTTGCGGACACACGCCTTCTTTGAATCGTGAGACGGAAATTATGCAGAACGCCAGCCGCTCCTAGGCGGATTGATAAATTGTACACGTTCTCGTAAAATATTTCATATTTAACATGAGCGAGCTTTTCTTCATCATATTTCCTTCGTCTATGAGCCCGTCGCATACCGCCACTGAAATGGCAACTCATAGTTTCTGCTGAAATCACAATGGGAATCTAATTAAACTTGCTTACAGACTCCGAAATTAACGAAGGGCACCTTGTCACTGGTGTTTTATGCCCGATTTATAATAAAAAATTCATATGAGTTGTCACCCCTGAGGACTAAGATGGAATGCCTCATTTCTAGTAAAAACGATTCTTTACACTCGCCAAAACCAAACTCAGCATTAAGCTGCTATTGCACGGTGCTATTTTGTGAGAGCGTGTTCTTTCCCCATCCAAGCCGACCCATTCGTGGTACAAACTATATAGCATAATTTAAAAAAATGTTAACGATTAGTTACTGTTGGTATATAAAATACATTTAATTAGTGTAATTCTACTAATGTATTATAATGACTCCATTATGTAATTTCAATATTAATTCGCTGAACTAAAGCTTTGGTAAAGAACTTTGGTAGTGTTTTAGGAGGCAAAAACTAAATAAAGCAGCAAGAAGTTAGTTCTGAATTTAGATTTTGAAGTTAAGTCACCTTGAGCTGTAGTTTATTACAGAAGGCTAAAATTATGGGAGGATAAAACTTCCTTAATAGGCTACTGAAACGACTAGCTATGTATTAAGTTGAACTTTAAATGTTGAGAAAGATTCAGCGAGGAAATGTATTTAATGGTCTGACGACTACCTCTAGCGCCGTAGTTTATGGTGTACTCCATTGCAAAATGTAACAAGAGTAAAACCTTTTTTAATGAATTTATATAAATTCAGTATTTATTTATACATTTAAACCTCCGCAATTGTTAAATATAACTTCTTACAACTTTTGCTATGTGGCAATCAAGGTTAAAGGATAAACAAAAACGATTGCAGTTACAAACCATAATTAATAATTTTGTATTTCATTGTAGAACGTAACTTGGGAAAAATAGTCCCGCTGGGTTTTTGTCGGTTCTTCCCAGGTTTTCTTCCGAACCAATAGTGAAAGTTAAAATTGGCGTTCAATTATTGATCTATATTCATTAATCATTATTATTTTTTATACTATCATGGCCTCATGGTATTTGTTAATAACGAATTTTCCAACCGCACTATTTTGGCGACAGAATAAGCATTGCTTTTCCTTTCGTTTTCGTGGTGATACGAGTAAAACGTCAACTGCTTTGATAATAAAAACTTTTACGTGTCGAATCGTAACTATAGTTATAACCAGAGAGCTAGTCGCCACTTTTGACTAACGTGTTAGATAAGAAGCTACAATTTTTATACTGTTAATTTTAGTTAAATAGAACTATCAACAACTAAAAGAGTTATTTCACTGAAGAACTGATTCATGGATGACACCAGCTGACTGATTGGTGGTGTAAATCTATTTAAAAATGTTAACCCACATACCAAATATTAATGAAATCATTAACATAAAGTTTGATGCTCTAATTAATCTAGCCCCCAATTCACAAACGCGATGCATATAAAATGCATACAATTAAATAAGCCGACAAATACTGCATAGTGAATAAAGACTAAGCTTTCATTAGAACACGTCCCGAGTCATAATCCGATCGATTGGTGCAACCGTAATACTGCGAACATTTTATTTCAGTATGAAGTTTTTTATAAATGAACGTTCCACATTTTAAAACATATTCAGAATTTTTAGCTGTTTACTGAACTCTACTTGTTAAATTCAAATAAAAAAAAACATTGACAGATTTGTGTTTAAGTGTTACAGCCTATTTACGTTCTAAAGCTGGGCACAGGCTTTCTGTCAATTCTGAGAGGGCTTTAGGGTAAGGGAGTGTCCGCCGCGCTGCCCCAATGCGCGTTGGCCAACTTGAAATGCCTTCGAAATATTTTTTTTCTTATTTCTCAGACATGCTGGTTTCCTCGCGATGTTTTATTTCACCGCCGAGCACGTTGTGAATCAGCACTTAAATTTGCAATTAACAACTCCGTTGGTGCCGGTGGGGATCGAACCCGGGTTGCTCGCGTACTGTGAAATTTACAGCGAGCGCTAAGCGCCTGAGTTACAACGGCTCTTCGTGTAAGAATAAGTATTTAGTATGAAGGAAGAAAAAACAACTTTTTGTATTTTATTATTAGCTTCAAATATAGTTAGAATCTGTTGTCTCAGAACTAAAGTGTAGAACAACGAAGTGCCGTCGAAAATATTTCAACTTAAATGTAAAGTATGGAATTTGACAGTCAAGTGAAATTTCGCGAAGACTGTGGTGCCGCGGCTAAGGAACTTCTTTCGTGAGAAATACTTTTCTAAAAGCACAGTTTTAACCGAAGTCTAATACAGTCTGGTTTTAAATTTTTTATTCAATAAAAAAATCGTATACACATTTTATTCACAAGTAGCGGCTTGTCTTATAAACAATTATGAGATGAATATATGAACAGAAGTCATTGTTACTATCTAGATTTCATAGTTTTTAAACAAAACCTTCCGAGACATTGTTACAGTTTTTGCATGAAACAATTAAACCAAATTATCTGTAATATATGTGTAAAGATCACAGTGGCTGTTCTGGGGTTAAGCGCTCCTAATGTTTGATCCCTGCCGATGCCAATAGAATTGTAAATACAACGTCAAGTGCTGATATACCACTTGCTCCACGATGAAGGAAAACATTGTAAGGATACTTGCATGTCTAAGAAATAACAAATATTTCGAAAATATGTAAAGTTGGCACACAGAATCATTTCTTCTGTTTACGCCGACATTATAAATTTAAATGAAGTTAGTTTTTACAGATTTAACTTATTTTATAGTCCCAACCTCTCAAGTATTTTACAGCACCCATGTTCACGGGGGAGAGGTGTTTGATCTTCTAATGTCATAGTTAACCACGGCTACCTTAAGTTTATATAAGTTAATATAGGCCAATATAAAATAAGTTAATATACGCGAAATAATCCATACAAAAGCTAAGTTCATTTAAATTCGGTGACAGGTATTAGAGCAGCATTACGGACAGTGTGTACGTACAATAATAAAACGTATCAGGCAGGTAACAGGATCTTACCAGGAGTTGTACTACTTTGTAGTATTTAAAATTACTATCATCATCATCATCATCATTACAGCCCTTTACAAGTCCACTGCTGAAACATAGGCCTCCCCCAATAAATGCCACAAAGATATGATTTTTGATTTACCGACGATATAGTCTTTATGGCAGAATCGCTGGAGGACTTAAACACAATGCTCAATGACCTCAATAGTGTTTCCCAACGGATATTCCTTGGCGATTTTAATGCCCACCATGCCGAATGGCTCGGTTCACGTCTAACCGATCATGCGGGGAGATCTGTTTATGACTTTGCCTTGGCATATGGTCTGACACAACTGGTTACTTCGCCTACGCGGATTCCAGATGTGGAGGATCATACACCTTCCCTGTTGGACCTTCTGCTGACCTCTTATCCGGACGGATATCAGGTTTCCGTCGATGCCCCTCTCGGCTCTTCGGACCATTGTCTGATCCGGAGTGTGGTGCCACTCACGCTCCCTTCGCGGTTGCGTTCTGCAGGTTGCCGCCGTGTTTGGCATTACAGGTCGGCGGATTGGGACGGAATGCGGTCTTTCTTTGCATCCTACCCATGGGGGCGGGTTTGCTTCTCGCCGGATGATCCCAGCGCTGTTGCTGACTCTGTCACTGATGTGGTGCTACAGGGAATGGAACTATTTATTCCATCATCTGTGGTACCCATCTGAGGCAGATCTCAGCCTTGGTTTGGTCGCTCCTGTAAGACTGCATTACGCAGTAAGCAGGAGTGTTATCAAGCCTGGGCTGCGGCTTCGGCGACTCGGGATGTAAATACCAGCACACTTAAAAAGAAGTATAAGTTCGCCTCCAGGTCCTTCAAAAGAGTTATTGACAAGGCAAAGTCAGAGCACATAGGCAGAATTGGCGAGAAACTAGTTCGCCTTCCTTCGGAAACCCGTGCATTCTGGTCTCTCACCAAGGCTGTCCAAGGGAATTTCTGTAAGCCATCACTACCATCTCTGCACAGGGAGGATGACTCACTGGCCCAAGACGCAAAAGACAAAGCCGACCTTTTAGGCTCCCTCTTTGCGTCCAACTCGACTCTTGATGACGGGGGGAAAACGCCGCCAACCGTCCCGCGGTGTGAGTGCTCCTGGACATCCAGAAGTCGAGTGGGCCTGACGGGATCCCCCCAATTGTGCTGAGGACGTGTGCTCCGGAGTTGGCACCGGTCCTAACGCGTCTTTTCCGGTACTCCTACTCCCAAGGCGTAGTCCCGAATTCATGGAAGACAGCTTTTGTCCACCCGATCCCTAAAAAAGGCGACCGCTCAGACCCATCCAACTATAGGCCCATCGCGATCACCTCCTTGTTCTCCAAAATAATGGAATCCATTATTAACTGCCAGCTCATCCGGTACCTTGAGGATCACCAGCTGATTAGCGACCGCCAATACGGTTTTCGTCGGGGTCGATCAGCTGGTGATCTTCTGGTCTACCTGACCCATAGATGGGCGGAGGCAGTAGAGTCCAAGGGGGAGGCGTTGGCCGTTAGTCTGGACATTGCGAAGGCCTTCGATCGGGTTTGGCACAAAGCGCTTCTTTCGAAGCTCCTTTCCTATGGGCTTCCCGAGAAATTGTGCAATTGGATCACCAGCTTCCTTGCAGATCGGAGCATCAAGGTCGTTGTAGACGGTGCATGCTCTGACTACAAGCCTATTAACGCTGGTGTTCCACAAGGCTGTGTGCTATCACCAACGCTGTTTCTTCTGCATATCAATGATATGTTGCTAACTGGTAACATTCATTGCTATGCGGATGACAGCACTGGTGATGCTCTATACACCGGCCGTGCCAATATTTCTCGGGAAAACGTCGCTGAGTACCGGAACAAACATGTGTCTGAAGTCGAGTCTTTGCTGAACAAAGTCTCGGATTGGGGGCGACTAAATCTAGTCCAGTTTAATCCTCAGAAGACACAAGTTTGCGCGTTTACCGCTAAAAAGAACCCTTTTGTCGTATCTCCTCAGTTTCAAGGCACTCCCCTTTTTGCCTCAGCCAGTATCGGTATCCTCGGAGACGACATATCGAGTGATGTGCAGTTTCGTGGTCACTTGGAAGGGAAGACCAAATTGGCCTCTAAAAGGCTTGGCGTGCTCAGCAGAGCGGGACAGTATTTCATGCCGGCACACCGCCTGCAACTTTACAAGGCGCAAGTTCGGCCTCACATGGAATACTGTTCCCA